CGAATACTTTTTGTTTAAATATTTTATATATATATATATATATATATATATATATATATATATATATATATATATATATATATATATATATATATATATATTTTTGGCAATAATTACGATGCAAGAGACTCGTCTAAATGATAAAAAAAAAAAAAACAACAAAAATTTACAATTGCTGGAATCTGGATTAAAGATAAATGCGATATAACAATCCTTAAAAGGAAGGTTTTGAATTCTCTTACAAGTAACAATATAAATCATAAATCTTGTAAAATCTTTTCGAATATCGAATAAAATAATTCCTGTTACATCGGCAATTGAATGTAAATCAACCGTTTTTTTGACTAAACTTCCTCAAAGAGAAGTTATCATTATCCTATTATAGTTGTGTGTGTCTTTTCCTTCATTAGTTCGCACGACCGTTACGCCTTGCCAATACCTAATAAATAATAGAATATTCCGTTTTGATCGCGTGGAAAGAGTACAAACGACACTCATAACCATCCTTCGACCTCTCTATGGTTGGATGGAACTCCATTGACAATCCTTTCCAAAAGGGTTCGGTCTTTGTATGATGTCCCCAGATCATTGAAGTGTCCCACCATGAGTCTTTAATTATTTAAATAATATGTAAAGTCCATTTTACCTGAAGAAGACCCGAGACCAGAAGGCCATAAAAGTAAAGATTATGGAAAATGTCCGCTCAATATTTTTTTATAAAAAAAAAAATTCCTTCTCTGTCTCTTATAAAAATATGTCTCTCTCTCTCTCTTCTCTCTCTCTGATCTCTCACACACACACACTCGTATATTGATTCATATCTCTTCATCATCATCCTCATCACCACCCATTGATCTGTGGTTTTGGTTGATTGGAACTGGGATATGGCTTTTTTTTTATCAAATTTTTACTAATTTTGATTTTCGTATGGATGCCTTTAACTGTTTAAACTGCTCAAATTGAACTTTCAAAAATATGAAAAATGAAAGAAAAAAAAAACGGTTATACTGCTAGTCTAAGATATGTTTGAATCTGGTTACGAGCATCCCTTTACACACAGTTCGGTCCTGTATTGCTGTTCCAGATCCCCAATGTTCAACCCTGAATCACGAGCTATGGTGTCTGAGAAAGTCAATTTTCGTGGGAAGACACTTACAGAAGGATGTCATAGGAATAACGATGAGACGATTTCTGTGTCCTCTCAATGGCATTGGCCGGGATACTAATAGTTTTGGTTTTAACGTAATGCAGATTATTCTGAGTTCTCCGTAAATTGTGTTAAACGTTGCATGGGATCTCCAACTGATGCTCACAAATTTTCTAAGTAGATTTCTATATGTTCCATCTTGTCTTTCAAGACGAGTAGAACTGGTTCAATCAATGTTTGAAAGGTTTGGGCTTTTAAGAAAGATGTAAGTTTCTAGCGCCAAATCTTGTGAAGTTTGTTACACGCTTCCCATGCAAGAAAGACACTTGGTTTCAGAGAGAAAGTTAAAAAAAAGAACAGAAGACAGAAGTGGGGAGAGAGAATAAGATTAATCTGATGAGAACAGCTGCTATACTTTGATCCTAGTCAAAAAATCAGATCCCAAAAAAATTACGATAAAAATATTTTTTTTTCAAATAAGTATCAAACAATTCAATCCGACTAAGACAATCGCCAAAAAACAGTTACCATAAATAAAATAACATCGTCTATTGAATTATTTCTAGGTTATTATTAAGAGAAATAAAAAAAGGAATATGGCTAGAAAGAGTGAAAGAAATGAAGTAAGATAGACGTTTTTAATGTTTCTTGCCAATACTGCGTAACTAATGGACTATTCCGTTTTGATGTCATGGAAAGAAGGGAAAAACACTACTTGGTTTATAAAAAAAAAATGTTAGATAGAATAAAATATATAGATGTGCTTTAAATAAGGGTATATAGATGTGTTTAACGAAGGAAACGAGAAGTGTTTAAGTCTGAAAAAAAGTTTAGATAAATATTTATTGTTTTCGAAGGTATATAGATGTGTTTAACGAAGGGTATATAGATGTGTTTAACGAAGGGTATATAGATGTGTTTAACGAAGGGTATATAGAAGTGTTTAACGAAGGGTATATAGATGTGTTTAACGAAGGACCAATAGTTCTTTAACGAAGATGGTTATAGAAGAAGTTTAATTTAATGATATAGATGTGGAAGGGTACCTTCATTGTGTTTAACGAAGAAATATAATAAATGTTTTAAGAAGGGTATATATATTTTTGTTTAACGAAGGGTATATAGAAGTGTTTATCGAAGAGTATATAGATGTGTTTAACGAAGGGTATATAGATGATTTATTTAACGAAGATTTAGCGTTCCATTTTAACGAAGGGTATATAGAAGTGTTTATGAAGCCTTATCAAGATTGTTTAATTTGCCGAAAATATAGACATTTGTTTTAACGTCGCCCACAAATAATGGATTATTCCGCCTGTCTTATTCTACTTTAAAAAAAACTCAGTTATTGATTTTTCGATATGCCATGGAACGAGAACAGTCTACCACTGTAAATTTAATAAAGTGTTCCGTTCAAAAACAAATAAGAATAAAGACCGATATACAACTGGGGAAGGTAAAGGCTGAAAATAACGATAAGCAACAAAGATGAAATAAACTAATGTCCGAATACAGATATTTGTAATTAATGATATATCCTCAAAAAATAAATTAAGATATTGAAGAATTACATTAGAATCCCTCATAAATGAATTCATAGTAGGGATCTCTCATATCCGGAACCCCTCATATCCGGACATGATTTTGATGTGTATATTTGAACTATATGTGCGATATGTGACTAATTTGAAATTCTTTGGATAAATGATAATTATCCGGAAATTTAACCCTAATGGCTTTATTGGTGAAAAAGATGATGGGAATAAGAGGAAAAGAAAACTTTGGGTGTTATCGTAAAAAGATTTTTAAACGAGTTTTGGTGAAAGTTCATAATAACTAATGGCTGAGTTCAACATAGGAAAGTCAACATGTATGATATAAAATCTTCCAAAGAAACTATTCTCCAGCGTTCACAGTGTCACGATGAACAAGGAAATAAAAAATAAACATTGTGATGAAACCTGGACTGAAATTTAAAAAAAAAAAAAAACAATTGAAAAGGTTGTCAGTTTTATGGAAAGAAAGCTAGCATTCAACTATGACGGTTGCAATAACGCACGCAGTGTTAAAATGTGTTTTTCGTTTAAAAAATTTCAAGAACAAAAGCAGAACGATATGCGGAAAAAGTTGAGAATGACATTAGAAGAGAAAGAATCATCATACAACAGAGATCAAAAAATCCTCGTTACATTATTTGTTTTGCATACGTGGCATAATTAATTTAATGAATTTTCATTAACATTACATAATTCATTTCTTTTTCCTTAAAATCAATTCCGTTTATATTTCACTCATCATTAGCTTATTTTTGTTTACTATAAAACATTGAAAATAAATGTTAAACCTGATTTCAGTTCTTTTATTTTAATCTAAATATAACCCTCATATCCGGACTTTGTAACCAATTCCTCATATACGAATTCCGGTTGTCAGAGATTCTACTATATGTATTTTTTGAGAAAACCAATTTTTGTTAGTAAAACAGAATTCAAATGCATTTTATATTCATGTTATTACTGCTCTTATGGCGAAATAAATAAGCTGAAGATCAGATATGTTATTTAAAACTTTATTTTTGGTATTACCGACGTGTAGCAAGCGGATGGGGGAAGATTGAATAGAGCCGTGATTTGAACGTGTGTTTATGTATCTGCCATTGTTTTAGTTCTCTCTATCCAAAACTCCCCGATCAAGGCCGATAACTTCATTCGGTTATCTCCCTTAGTAGGCTCCGCTATAGCAATTCATTAAAATGTTTAAAACATAGCTACAACATATTGACAAAGTTACAAGATAGATATGAAGCCATGGTTGAGTTACAAATTTACGTCAGCTACATTAATTTGATCGATATACTCTCCAGCCTTTCTTCTGTTTGAATTCACATTGAACGCTTTAATACAAAAGGACATTGTCCATGAAGACAATTTAACTGTAGTGAACATGGTATCTTCAACATAAAACACTTGATAACTAATCCATCTGCGTATCACATTTTCACTACCCACCATGTTTTTATTACTTACTTGCTCTTGTCCCGGTTTAATAATTCCTATCATTTGTCGTTTTTTTTTCGGCTGCTATTTCGTATTTCTTTTTATGTTAGTCTGATTAATGAGGTCTCCATAAACAAGCATATGTACTGAGTCTTTCAGACATCTAAATCTCCAGTGTTCTTACTTGTCCAGTATTTTTATTTCATTCCACAGGAGTTGATGGCTACGTCTTTCTCTGCATACATGATCAGCCATGCCTGATTTCATAGTCTCAACTCTCACTACGGCTTTTGGATGTTTCCCCAGCCTTACTTTTGAAACGCTGCTAGTTTAATCGTTATATACTCTGCAAGGAATCGTGTAATTGCAATTCTTGTTCATGTCGTCCTCTGTGTTAGGCGTTACTTGGCAGAGATTTCTTCGTAGAATTGAACTGCTTCTTAATGTTGTCCTGAAATTATACGGACCACACATCTTCTGAAACTTAGCATCCCAGAAATTCAGACAGAATCGTATAAAGTTATATATTTGAAAATAAAATAACGTATTAAATTCCAGTTTTTTTGAAGTTTTGCTATTTGTTTCGTCATATTTTAATACAAACTTTGAATTGGAACTCGGCTCTCCATTACACCATAAGAGCTTTAAAATCCACTGGATGTTATAGCTCTTTCGATGAAAATTCTCTTGAAAAACGTTTGTCTTTGTCAATATGGAAAGTCGATATCTTGATTATGTCATTACTTTCGCTATGTGTTATCCATTTTAGATGAATATTGAATTCGATCATCACTCAGTACCTGTGGCCTTGTACCACATCTCTTCCATGCTTAGTAAATCACACAATGTCCAAGCTTACAGCAATATCATGTTTAAAGACCGGTTCCCGAACGATCACTGAAGTTAAGCAACGTCGAGCCTGATCAGTACCTAGATGGGTGATGGGAATTGCAGATGCTGTAAAGTTGGATGTGCGGGTGGTGCAGGGGATAATGGCTCGGAATTGTTAAGACGTTATATTCACTTATTGGCAAATACCCTTGAGAAAAGTTATGAATCTTTGTTATATATGAATAAAGTGTTGCTGCCGACACTTGAGTTTGAACACAGATCGCCAGTGAGCAAACACAGACGATCCTATTATTGAATTAAGTAGACAACGTGACCCTAGAGGAAACGCATATATGGGAGGTAGTGTGTGCCTAATTGATCTGCATTTCTAGTCATTCCTCTATTACTATTTGGATCTCTCTTTCTAGTCTATCCTCTATTATATATGGACCGCTGTTCTATACTTTATTCACTTGACTATTTCTCTGTTTGGATCACTATAAGCAATACTATTCGGGCAAGCTAACTGTATTAGTATTAGTACAAGTGTTACTCTAAGGCGTCTGACAGCAGTATTGTTCAACGGCGTTTCTATAGCTGTATCTGCGATTACAAAGTCTCTACTACAACGAGCATTACAAAAGTCACAACGACTATTCTTTCGCATTGCAAAGGTGGCAACGAGTGTTCGTGGACATCACAAAAAGTCCATTTCTTCTCTCCCCAGTAAGGTGTGAATTAGTTTGACTTGTATTACTAGAATATTATTATCTCAAAAAAAATCTTACAATCTAAAAATATTTTCTTTATTTAAATAAGATACAATGTGTTGATAAGACGTAAAAATCGCCTCAATCAGTCTAGATGCAACAGTCTCGTCTATTATTTTCATTTCTCGCACCGCTCATCTGTAGAACTCCCTTTCGATTTGTTGCTTCTGTGTCATCTATAATGTTCAAAAATTTAAATGTAACGTCAATCGCCATGTCCTGACTTCTCGAAACCTCCCCCCTTATTGTCTCTTCCTCAATCATTCCCTCTAAACTCTCATCCTCGTTATTTCTCTGTGTTTATTGCGTCTTAATGGCATAATAATTATATATATATATATATATATATATATATATATATATATATATATATATATATATATATATATAGATGTGAGAGAGAAACTGAGAGAGAGAGAGAAAGATCTGGAGAGGGGGAGGAGGGTTGGTGGGGTAATGGATATCGGCTTGGATTGTGGAATGTAGAGCCGAGTTCGAATCCAGGTTGAATCCATTACATTCACTTACGTGCTAATACCCTTCGGAAAGGTGTGAATCCTCTTCTTCTCCCTCCAGCTATGGGTTAAATAGCAGAACAGACTGGGTTCTATAGCCTTGGGTGGCAACTGGTCTAAGAGAAGGACAACTCTGAATTCAAAACCTGAGGGGGGTTGTTTGGGGACCTTGTGGTACGTAGTGCACCAGATCTCTGTATTCGGCCCTTCAAAAAGTGTTGATGGTCCTGCACGAAGCCTTCACCACTATAATCGAATCTCATGTGCCGGTGTCGGGCTGTCAGTTTCCTGGAAACTGATCTGCTTAACCCTCATACGTCGAACCCGACAGGAATTTCGATTATATATATATATATATATATATATATATATATATATATATATATATATATATATATATAAATAGAAACGTTTTAGTTTTTGGTTATAATGTAGATCTGTTTTAGTTTATATATTATATTTTATTCTTCATATTACTGCTACATGAGTTTCCGGTCTCGTGACCTTCTTCAGGTAGACAAAAGAAATAACTTGTTAAAGTAATAAATTTTCCTTATGTTCTTTTAATGTTTCATTGCTCGTTTTCTGTATTTGTAGTGAGTCTTGATCTCAATTCTGGACTGTAGGCAAAAGTGAATTTCTGCCCAAGTCGTAATAAAATCATAAGGTTTGGTTTTAGTGATAGCTGTGTTGAGAGATGTTTTCCTATCATTACATTACCCTTGAGACAGTCAAATCCATTGTTGTGTACCGTGAGTGCGTGTGTGTCCCCGTTAACTTGCATATGTATATTTTCTCCTAATATATACATACTGTCTTATATATATATATATATATATATATATATATATATATATATATAATGGACTCTCCCGTCGGTTTCAACGTATGAGGGTCTGACAGATTAATTGATTCAGTTATGAAATTTTGTGCGATAATTTTAAGTGGCTAGTATATGGAGCAAGAGTGAGGATTGTGAGATGAGATCACTGTTAGACTGGCTGACCTTTTAGATCTTGCTCTCGCTTCTTGAAGACGATTCAAACAAGCAGATTGAAAAGTGCTCGAGAGTGTTATGAGTTATACTGACAGCTGAGCAGTTGCTCTTCAGCTTGTCTTTTTATCTTAGCCATGGGCGTCCTACATTCCTGTAGCCCTGATCTAACTGGCTGTACATTAGGATCCTGGGTATCCTGTCATCAGACATTCTCAAGACATGACCAGTCCACCGTAACTGAGACTGTATGATAAAAGTCTTGATTCCTCCAATATTACACCTATTAAACAGGTCTACGTTAGATGTCTTATCTTGAAGCTTAACTCCACAGATTCCACACAGACAGCTTTTATGGAAAACATCTAGCTGGCGTATATGGTACCTGTATGGAGTCCATGACTCTGAGCCATACAAAAGGATGGCAAGTACAACAGCTCTGTAAACCCGAATTTTCGTATCAGTCGAATGCCCGCTCATTCCACAAGCGATGGCGAAGTTTGCCGTAAAAGCACTGGATTTTTTAGAAATCCGATGCATGATTTAAAAATATAAATTTTGAAAGACTTTAGATAGTTCAGGGTTTGTCTTCTTTTTCAATGGTCTCTCTGAAAATGTGTAGACTGTTGTTTTTTTTTTTCTCAAACAGAATTGTTTTATTTTATTTTTAGTTATATATATATATATATATATATATATATATATATATATATATATATATATATATGAATAATTTTGAAAAAACAAACAAAAACAAAAAAAACAAATGAAAATTTTCAGTTATCTGTTCTGAACTGGTTTTTTTTATGTTCATTTTCCATTTTGTTTCACAAAATTTCTTAAATTTTTTTATATTTATATCCATTTTTATATATATATATATATATATATATATATAATTATTTATTTAAAAATATGATTCCAAATCGCTACATAAGAGGTCTCATGTTTTCAAAACTAGAGCCGAAAACTTCAATATAATCCTTTAAATTAAATTGAGTTGAAAGTAAAATGGGCTCCGTTCCATCCTCAAGCGAAATTTTTGTTGGAATAACGTATATCTGAAATTCACTTGTTTTAAAATTGAAATCAAACTCCCCATGGTAACAGCTATGGTGAATTTTCTAAATTGGGTAGGCGAGTGTAGGGTGTTTATATTAAGTAGCGGTATAGAGATACTTTCAAGGTGTCAAGTCGGGGAAAGGTGGGGGTGTCAAAAATGGAACGGAAGATGTATTGGCCATCGTCTAGTTTGATTGTCTATTGAGATTTATTTATTTATTTTATTATAATATTTAAATAATAACTAAAATACTAAAGGACTTTGGATTATTTACCTAACCAGTTCCTTCCTATTTTCTATATATTTTCACATATTATATATATATATATATATATATATATATATATATATATATATATATATATAAAGAGATAGAGAAATTTGGTTAAAGATCAGTGGAATATATCAGTAGATAGGGGATAGTTACTCTGATGAAGAAAGAGAAGAAAATCAAATTCTGGGACACATAATAAGGAAATAAGGCTTGGAGAATATGACACTCATAAGGCAGATTGAATATAAGCCAATAAGAGGGAACAGTGAAAAACACACCAAAAAAGATAACAGGATATATAATAAAGCGATAAACAATTCTTAGAGCTGCAAAGAAGAGGAATGTAGCCGGGGGTGGGGATGGGGTAACAATGAACACCGATTTCCTAGTGGGCGTTGTCGGGGACAAGATATACAAAAATAAGCAAATATAAAAATGCTGATCTGATCGAAATATAAGATTTTTTTTATTGTACTTAAGAGACATATTTTTGTACAAATCATATCCGAAATTTTATGTTGTCCTTTGTTGAGAGACAGGACCAGTGACGTTAATAGAGGTGGGTGGAATTTATAATGGAACTATTTTGGTAAGACGGTGGACTCATGAGAACCAGGAATCGCAAAACAAATAGATCGGACTGCCAATCATATTAGGCAAAATCTACTTATAATACGATTTTACGGCAAATCACGTTAAAAAGTGACGATATATATATATATATATATATATATATATATATATATATATATATATATATATATATATATATATATATATATATATATATATATGATAGGTTATATATTTATTCCAACGAGAGAGAAAAGTGTATATTTTAAAAGAGAGAGAGAATCTTTTTTGGTTTTAATGTGGATTTTTTTATAAATATATTACATTTTATTTTCCATAATTGGGTTACACGGGTTTCCGGTCTCGCGAACATCTTCAGGCAAAGAGTGGATATTTCCACATATTGAAATGAATTAATTTTCCTTATGGTTTTCGATGTTAAACATTCTCTTTATTTGGGTAATAGTGATAGAAATGTCTTTCTTGGACTGGTGGTAAGAAAATATATTCGTTCTCCACAGATATATATGTTGAGATCAAATATATATATATATATATATATATATATATATATATATATATATATATATCTTATATATCGATTTCAAGCTCTTGAAAACATTGTTTCTGTTCTGTAATTGTTATCATCTCTTATTATTTATAAAATAATGCCTTTAGAAATACTTTGTATTTATTCAATATTAAAAGTCAATATTACGGTTCATATATATATATATATATATATATATATATATATATATATATATATATATATATAAAGACCTTATGCAACTGGAATTTATAAACAGGGATCATAACATTTATATACAGGTTCGGGGTTAATGTACTTTATTAAATTTGTTTGCGAAGATGTATTCTTGCCATTTAAATCATTAACATCTATATCTGCTTTTTTATGAAGGATTCATGTTATATATATAT